CTCAAACAAGCAACCTCGCGCTCGTTTGTCATCATGGACGAGGTCGGGCGTGGGACCACGCCAGAAGACGGAACTGCCGTCAGTTTTGCATGCTTGCATCACCTGCATTATCACAACAAATGCCGGACACTGTTTGCGACTCATTTCCATGTCCTTGCCGACATGACCCACGACTTTGATACCCTCGGCAGATACTGCACCGATGTCAAAGAATCCGCTTCTGGATCATTCTCATTCGTCCATCGACTACGCAAAGGTGTGAACCGCGAGTCACATGCATTGAAAGTTGCTCAATTGGCCGGACTACCCATGGAGGCCATTGAAATGGCAAAGAGCGTGCGTCAGCGATTTTCTAACCACAACAACAGCCCACAATGGGATGAGAACTCGGCACCAAAACATACAGCAAACGGAGAATGAAACTGCCCATACCATCAGTAATTTCATATCATTCACAATCTATGTACAATAGCCATTTTGATAAGAAGGTACAATGAACCATATCCCCCGCAGAGGCTTCAACCCTTACCATAACCGTTCTCAAAGCTTCGCCAGAGCCTTCTTAGTTCCCTCACCCGATACTTCTACAGCGATGCCCTCCCCAAACCTCACCTCCTGACAATCCTCATCCCCAACCCCATTCATAAACTGCACCACCACAAAATCCACCCTCCTCTTCCCAATAACCACCATAGGCGCATGCCACGTTCCCGCCCCATACGTAACTGCCTGGCCACCCCTAGCCACGAACGCCCTCAAGCGACTCAAGTCCGGCGGATCAACCACATTTACAGTCTTCCCATCGTCCGTCTTCGCAGTAGCCGTAGTGCCCTTCAATGATGGCGCCACAATAACCAAGTAGAACGGCTCCTCCTCCACCTCACCTCCCGCGCCTGACGTCTTCACCTGACTCGACAAATCAATTGGGGTGAAAGTTTGCGTAGTGTAGGGGTGTCTTTCCAGAATGCGCACGTCAAACACATTCACATTCTTATGGGCGACAGTGCGGAGTTTGCGCGGAAAGCACGAGAACATAGTCATGCGGGCGGAAGAGGGCTGGCCGCTCGGAGCGGTGGAGTAACTATCAGTCATTGGACCGATCGGGCTGTACTTCAGAGCGGAGGATTGATTGGCGAGGACGGGGACGGGCGATAGCGTATTCGGGATACTCTCAGTTGGAGGGGTGGTGATGTTGCGAGCTAGGGGAGATGATATGGCTGTGCCGAAATCGGAGAAGGCCTCTGGGGTGAGGGGAGCGGGGGTGAGGTTGAGGAGGGGAGTGGTCGTGAGGGTCGGTGGTGGCATTGTTGTGTGTTGGAGGTATATGTGCTTATTCGGGTTATTTGCAAGAAGAAATAATGTACAATTTGAAGGAAGTATTGAAGGTAGGGGACCTGCCCGAATGGTTGAATTGAGTGGTTTGATAGATGAAGAATGAGAGGAGAAGGGCGGGATGAGGTGATGATTTGTTATCTAAGTACCCCAGAAGGGCATCGGGAGTCGCCGTCATAGTGTTGACGCTAAGATCGGCGGTCGGAAGGGCCCGACGTCAGATTGATTGGGTTGGAGAAGAGGAGTAGATCAATGTTGCTCTGCTATTAGAAGGCGTCTTTTCATCATTGATAACATCATTTGTGGGACATGGGAGAGATCCCAATTCTTGTTCTGGGAGATGTATTTTTGGAAGTAGTTCTTCCTCCTTACCGGAAGTTTAGCCCTCTTCCCGGGCCCGTCACTTGCATTCTGGCACATTGAGATGCGGGTCACAATGCAAGGGATGACGGGCGTTTAAAAGGTTAACAAGTGTCATTTAATGACCGCATTATCTCTTGAATTGTCCCGGTTTCAATGGTTGGTCCCTTCCAAATGTGACCTATCTATAAGGTCAGGTGATCAGGTTCCTCTACTAGTACCTTCTTCTGCTTCTTCCGTCTATCTTCACCTCTTCGGCTTCGGTTATACACTCTTATCAATGTCCTCATAATTCCAATGAAATCTTTCACAATGATTCCTAATTGAACTCAGAGCAACATGGTCCATGGTTGTATCAAGTGTGTGTTAGGTCTCAGATACACGCGATTCAGATTCATTGTTAAGCTCCGAATATATATTCAGAGAAACTACCATACTATATGCTAGTAGCCACTCAACTGATGCTGGCAGATGAAAAGCTGGAAACAGTACTGGAGGTCTTCACCATCACCTTAACACACAGAGACACCGGTTCGTCTTCCGATAACAATGATAGCGAAACCATCAACTGCTTACCTTTGATGCTTTATTCTCGTGAAATAATTTGCTAGGATCCGTCAGTTCCTTTGGACATGCAGGATCGGCTGAGTCAGCCAATGGACTGCCACGTGAGGCTAAGCCTCTGACTAATCGGGGCGATCCATCGGGGCTGGCAAAAAAGCCAAAAAAACCGACGACTAAAACCGACTTCACGGTAGTGGATCGGCAGTGGAATCTCCCGGTCTTAAAGGCTGAAAGCGTTATCGCGCTTCGCTTGGGCTCCACAGAGACTCGTCAGTAGTTCGGATTTTATGATGCCAGTTTGTCTGGGCATCTTCCTCGGCGCAGGCTTGTCCAATGCTTTGTGGAAAACGAGTGGATTCTCCCCCTCAAATTATGCAATCAAAATGAGTATACTCATCAGCTGCCAATTGATAGTCTGGAAAACACACTACTGAAACTCGGTCCTCACCGGGATCCTGGTCTTCTTATATTTCTTGGATCAATAGTGTGACGCACCAGGTACCGGAAAAAGAATTTCGAGCTAGCCTTAGCTGGATTGAGGTCGGACTTAAGGCATGCAAAATTTATTCGGACAAGAAATGGCAGATTGTTGGTTGACGTACGCTGGTGCGGAGGGTGACGACTCCGGCTTAGGCAGTCACTTTTTGTTGGCGCCAATCCAGTCTCATAAGGTGAACTCTTTGCCCACCAGTTCTGATCCAGTCAAAGGCGTTGAAATGCCTTCCCCAGTTCGCTAGTCTTTGCCTCCTGTTCGCTTTCGGATTTCCGTTCCTTATCTTGTATCGATATCCTGTGATTGTGCCGTCATGATCTTCCTTCCAATGGCGGGGAATCAGTGGCTACGATGTGTGCTGGTTCTGGCCCTGGCGGTACTTGGGGCCCAAGGTATCAGTCTTGATATCAGCAGCGAGGGTATGTGAATTTTAAGCCGTGGTAGCTAATCGGGCCTGAGATATGATTGATGGCTCGATCTCCGCAACCCAACCGCAGATGAACCTAACCGCTCTCGTTCACAGATTCGATTAAGAATGCAGCATCAACCGCCGCCTACGGCATGATGAAGCATTACAAAGGAAATGAATCTGGCGAAATTCCGGGCAAGATCCCCAATACTTGGTGGGAAGGTGGCGCCATGTTCATGACGCTCATGCAATACTATCACTACACGGGGGATTCCACCTACAACCAGGAAGTCATTAAGGGCATGCAGTGGCAGTCGGGCGATTGCGATTTCATGCCGACGAACTGGAGTAGCTACATCGTGAGTTCCTCGCCTAATGGCTGCCCCTTCCCCAACTAATCAAGGCATCCAGGGAAACGACGATCAAATGTTCTGGGGTTTGGCCGCTATGACTGGTGCCGAACTGAACTTTCCCGACTCTAGCGATGGATACTCCTGGCTTTCGCTGGCGCAGGGTGTCTTCAATACCCAGGTCGCCCGCTGGGATAATTCTACCTGCGACGGGGGTATGCGGTGGCAGATTTACACCTACGAATCCGGTTATACCATGAAAAACGCCATTTCCAATGGTGGTCTGTTTCAACTGTCGGCTCGGCTGGCGCGCTATACTAGCAACCAGACCTACTATGACTGGGCGGAGCGCATCTGGGACTGGTCGACCACGACGCCGCTGTTGAGCAACTCAACCTGGAATGTCGCTGACTCGACATCGACGACAAACGACTGCAGTACCCAGGGCGATAACCAGTGGAGCTACAACTACGGTGCTTATCTTGGAGGAGCTGCATACATGTACAATTACGTAGGTGGGCCCACCGCATCGAGAAACGATCAACTCATAACCTATCACAGACCAACGGTACCAGCACCAAATGGATGAACGCCGTCGATGGCCTGCTGAATCGCACGTTGAACATGTTCTTCCCGGCGAGCCACGGCGGTGAAATCCTAACGGAGATTCTATGTGAACCGACAGAGGTGTGTAACGACAACGAAATCATCTTCAAGGGTCTCGTGTCTGCCTGGCTCGCCTACACTGCCCTACTGGTTCCGTCCACCTACAATAGAATCCTGCCCAAGCTGCAAGGATCTGCCCAGGGCGCTGCCGCAACCTGCACCGGGTATGGTAACAACACCTGCGGCGTGCGATGGTGGAACAGTACCTGGGATGGCTGGAGCGGACTCGAGGAACAAATGAGCGTTATCAGCGTCTTCTCGTCGAATATGATCGCCTTCAACTCCTCGTCTGCACCGTTGACTTCCAGCACGGGAGGCAACAGCACCAGCAACCCGTCGGCCGGAACCGATGACAGCTCCGATGACAAGACCATTCTAAGCACGATCACCACGGGAGACCGCGCCGGAGCGGGCATCGTGACAGTTGCTTTTGCTGGGGGTTGGATTGGCTTGATGGCATGGTTGATGCTCGGTTAATGATACCATAATTGGCGTTAGTTTTGTATATATTGTGTAAATAATTAGACGAAGATATGTCTGCAAAAGCATCATTGCAAACACTATCAATATGTGGGAAGAAGATTCATATGGCAGTGTAGGGTGTATTGCTATTAGAGCGTTTTGTATGTACATGCAATTGCTAATAATTGTATCGCATCCATCAACTGCCAGAAACACGGTATGATGTATGTATGGTATATAAACTAAAAACGGCATAAACTTTTAATTTTTCCAAGGGCAATAGACATTGTTTGCCAGGAGCAAAAGAAATCATTGTGACTAACAAACCACAAAACACAAAACATCCCCAATACAAGGAAATGACCTACTGCTCCAACACGGGCTGCTTCTCCTTCAACCCGGTCTTCGTCTCCACATGCTCCTCGCTAAGATGCTGACGAGTGATAAACACACTAGCAACGAAACCACAAGCAGCGAGACAAGCATACATAATCCACATATTACGAAGACTCCACGCATATGCATCCGCCACAGCGTGTCTCTGAGTCGGATCCTGGACCGCGCGGACGGCATCAACATTAGCTGCCGCCTCGGTGCCAGAGAACTCAGCCAATAGCGACGAGGACAGCCCCGCAGCCTTGAGACCGTCTTGTCGCATGTCCATGCTGTTCTGGAACACCACACCCCCGAGCACTACGGACATGGCCATTGCGACGTTGCGGATGAAGCCGAAGGTGGCGGTTGCGCTGGCGGTGTTGGCCTGGGTGATGTTGCTTTGGAGGGCGAGGAGAGGCGGGAAAAAGAGCATTCCGCAGCCCATGCCTGCGGTGATTTGGTACCCGACGATTTTCCCGAGGGAGGAGGTGGCGCTGTAGTTGGTGAAGAGGCCTACTCCGAGAACTACGAGGGCGGTGCCGGCCCAGATGATTTCGAGGTAGCGGCCTGTGCGGTGGATGAGGAGGCCGGAGAAGAGACTGAATGCTGCTTCGGTTAGGACGAAGGGGAGGATTAGGACGCCGGAGCGGAATGGGGTGGATTCTTTGGCGGATTGGAAGTAGAGTGGGAGGTAGTATTCTGCTCCGAGGTAGGCCTGGTGGGAGGGGGAAGGGTTAGTGGTGTGATTAAAGGAGGAGGTTGGTGGAGGGTCGTACAAAGCCATGTGTGAAGTCGACTAGGAAGCAAGCGACGTTGGACCGGTTCCTGAATACCCCGAGTGGCATGAGGGGGTATTTGGCTAGTTTCTTCTCACTGTAGATGAAGGCGAACGACATCAGACAGCCGAAGACGATCAGGCAGATTACCTTGGGGGAGCCCCAGGGGAATGTGGCGCCGCCAAAGTCTAAACCTAGTAGAAGTAGGATGATGAGTGCGAGCATAGAGAAGCTCCCCCACCAATCCACGGCCTTGATACCGGCCAGGACGGGGGTCCTTGGATTGTGTATATCCAGGAACACATAGAGCAGCACAAAGGCCGTTCCACAGACGGGAAGATTGATCCAAAAAATCCACCTCCATGAAACAGATTGGGTGAAAGCCCCACCCACGATCGGCCCCAAGGCACCAGCGATGGCCCAGATGAACTCGATCAATCCGAGGAATAGACTGCGGAGTCTAGTATCATGTTAGCTACATACCAGACAAGATAAGAGGTGTGAGCAGTACCTGACGCTGAACAAGTCAGAAATGGTGATTGTGATCAGCTGGATGAGACCACCACCAGCTATACCTTGTATGCCACGGCCGGTAATCAGCATGGGCATACCATTGGCTTTGGCGCAGATGATTGATGCTACAAAGAATAGGGCAACGGCTGTGAGGAGGATAGGCTTTCGCCCCCAGATATCGGACAGATTGGCCCAGATGTTGGAACTGGCGGCATTGGCGAGGAGATAGGCACCTCCAATCCATACATAACCGGATGCTGAATGCAGATCGGACGAGATCGTTGGTGTGGCAGTAGCTACAATGGTCTGATCAAGTGCGGAAATAAAGAGCGCAAGCTACTTCTTATAAGCAGGGTGTTCAAAATAAACTTTAGTGAGAAACACACCGAAAGGGCAAGCATAGTTGCAAAGATCTTCCAATTACTGCGAGGTCCAGAAGTCTCAGGTTCATCGGACTGAGGTCCGTGTGGGGGAGTTTCTAGATCTTGTGCATTGGATACTATATTCTCCGAACCGCATTGATCAGGTCCATAGTTCTCGCTCATGGTTCCGGACGTGGATAGCATTTCGATTGGCTGCCGATCGGCACCAGTCGAGTCTCTAGAAGAACCCAGCGCCATTGGGACCTCTTCTTCAAGAAACGGAACGCCAATATCAGCCTGTAAAGATTCTGGCGAGGAGAAGATAGGATGGGGAAGATGGATGCAGGGCGAAAAGATTGAGTCATGGCTGTTTGTTCAGTTTGTCTGTGTCTTGGCTGGGGTTCCCGTTTGCCGATATTCTCTCCATCTTTCATCCCTTCTTTGCCGAGTGAGTAATGAGAAGTAGAGCGATCTCATAGACACAATGCTTATGCACGTTGCAGGCTTCTCGTCGCTTAGTACTGAGTGTATGGATAGCGTAAATCCCACGTCAATTGTATGACAGTTCATCGTTTGATTTGTTGACAGCTCCACTTGGCTGGCGCATAGTATATGATTGGTTTTAGTAGTATGATCCAGTGAGAACGGTTTAGTACTGTAGTACTTGTATGAATAGAATGCCTTCAATATTTTCCTAGCCCAATATGAAGTTATATCATCAGGGCTTTATTGTGCACCCGTTACAATAGGGTCTTTGAAGCTAAGATAAAAGTTTGAATAAGGCTAAAATTAAAGATGAGGGAAGGGGGCGCGATTGATTTTCAATGGATTCCAATGGATTTCAATGGATTTTTGATGGATTTTTGATGGAGTCTTGTTGGATTTCTGTTAGATTTCTGTTGGATTTCCGTTGGTTTCCCATTAAATTTCTGCGGGGACCTCCCCTAACAATGATAGCCCGAGCCCACTTGCCTGCTGCAGTGATGAAGGCGCACTTTTTGGGCAGGCTGAGATGAATTGATCCAATCTGGTGTCTCGCATCCCAGTAATAGGCGACTGTAACTGAATAAAATGGATAGACCTAGTTGGAGGCATATTTGCGAGAATCCCATACCGAATATGCGTCGAGCTGTAGCCTTCTCGGACATGATACGGTACATACAGTGGATGTTGTCAGATGAGAGGTGATAATCGACACCTATAAAAGACAGACAAAGCTCTCGAATAACCCGAAAATGTAATATACACACCGGAGGAAGATACAAATCGAGGTCTTACTCCGTGTTCATAGAAGCAAGACTTCCAAGCAAAAGTGAGTTTTGATAATTCTACAGCTCAATCATACTGACGTGCGTAGAAAATGTGTGAGGTCCACGTTACCACGACACGCTATACAAAATGCCCTGCTTCTTGCACCAGAGTCAGGCGCGTCTTGTATAGAGAAGGATGTCCCACCTACGCAGCAACTGGACGGACTTGCCCCTATCCGAAAGAAAAGCACCTTGGCCAAACAATCACTCGAAGCCAGTGCCCAGACCACAGAGATGAGGGATTCGCAGAGTGCGACACTCGATGAATATGAGTGGCTTGGACGGAAGTCGTTGGACCTAGAGGGAATGACTTATGGTAGATACTCGATTTCCACAGCTGCAACGGCGTCATGAACAGCCTGGGCCGAATGGATCTGTCCATGCTAACACTGTGAAATCACAAAACCACATAAGACGTTAGAAACATCGGGGAATTGTTGAACTTCGTATAGCTTCTCGAATTCATCACTGAGTATGTCCTTGTAGGGATAAGTGCCTGTCATTATAAAGTATATTAGAGACCCAAGACCGAAACTGTCGTCTCCATAAACCGGAGTGACATTCCAGTCATAGCCAGGAGGTCGGAATCTTGTTGCCGGAGTAGCTGAGGGTTCTGAACCACATAGTGAAGCGCCACCAAAGTCAGCGATTTTGGCATTGAGGCCCGAGTCGAGAAGGATATTTCTTGGCGAAAGATCACAGTGTATGATGTGATGAGCATGGAGAGCACTGAGTGCTCTAGCAACCTGTTTACACCACTGGAGTCAAAGTTGAAGGGTTATATCTGGCATGCTATGTTGAATGTATTCTTTGAGATTCCCATTCTCCAAATATTCTATAGTGAGGCAGCAAGTTTCCTGATCCCAATTTAGTATCGTGGGAACACATGGATGTTCTCCTACCATTACATAAATATTGGCCTCAAGTCGCATATTGCGGCGGTGGTCTTCTTCTTCAGGAGGGCAGTATGGATTGGGAATGGGTGTCTTCATAACGGAACCAGAAGGCAATCGCTCAAGAATAGCGGTTCCTCCCCAAGTCAAGGTTTTGCCTTTGGTAACATATATCACTTCTCCTGGACGTGCTTCCGGTATCTTGCTGAGACTCGAGAATTCTCCTCCTTCTGTCAATCCAGAAACACATATGTAGGTTATCTCCTGGGGATAAGGTCTGGGCAGGTTACTCCTTTCTACGGTTGATTTTCTGGCTGTCTTCTAGGTAGAGGTGGTAAGGAAGAAGTGAATCACACATGATAGAACTGAACTTACTGCGTCTGGCTCTGCTTCCGGGCGGCTAGGGCACTCACTTTCGGCATTGTGCCTATAACGAGGGAGCATTGCTGTAAAGAGGCTACTTAGAGAAAAGTAGACGAAGTAAAAAGAAGACCATATGGGATCAATGAACAGTAGCAAACTCGGCATCATGAGTCTCATCAATGTCATCAGCAAATTACCTTCGGACTGTGATTTTTAAGCTGAATTATGATACTGACTCGCAGTAAGGGAACTGCCTAGGGGTGATAGATTGATAGAGAGATAGTGTGAGGAAACGAAGACCAGAGAGCGATTTGATAATAGTTATGCATTGAGTATTAGTAAGCATAAATAATATTTATGTTCATGTGTCTCGTCGCCCTAACGAAGCAGACGGAATCCGCCAGGCAAACTGATTGCTTTACTGCAACGATAAACGTCCAACTGACGAGCACCATGCTTGCATTCTAATTTGATGAAATCCTCTTACCGGCTTAATTCTTTTCCCTAGATCCATTTCCGGCTCTAAATGGCCTCTCGAACGACCGAAGTATTAGTGCATCGGCTATACGGATAGGCGTGTAAGCGACACGAGGTGTCTGCTAAGTCGAAATAGGCTTGAACTCCGCCTGCTCGTCTGTCGGAGTTATCCTACCGGACTATTCCTTCGAGGAATTAGAATTCACACTCTGGACCAATGCGGGAGACCCTGGAAGTCCCTTCCCCAGTTTTCGGGGATTCTCCGCGTCTGGTCCATCTGCAAATGTGGAGTTGACGGCACAAATGACGCATTGGCGGCCAATGCAGAATCTACTAGCTTGCCGTCCTCGGAAAAGAGTAAGCTATCAAGCATCATGCTATCAAGAATTTAGAAGTATTAGTATGGCTGTATGTCACTCTCAACATGGCGTTGAGGTCATTGCTTCTCTGCTATCGACCCAACTGAACCTACCAGTGGAAACTGCAGCTTAAAGATGGGGGTAAAAGCCTTCAGCTTCTTCGTTGCTGCAGCTCAGCTTTCTGCAGTGACTGCAGCAGCATCTCGCCTAACTGTCGATACAACAGTTGGGCGACTGTATGGCATGGTCAATGGTTCAGCTCCGGATGTTGCGCAATTCCTTGGAGTTCCGTTTGCAGCACCTCCTGTGAACGAACTACGATTCGCGCCTCCCCAGACGAAGCCTGCAGAGGCTATCATTGATGCCACGAAGATCGGGCCTTCTTGCCCGCAATATCCATTGACCACAAAGACAGACCCGTCTGTTTACACGTTTGACTCTCCTTGGCTACAACCATATGGACCGACATCAGAGGATTGCCTGACTCTCAATGTTTGGAGCCCATTGCATGCCGTCAATGAGACGGATGAGCCATTGCCAGTGTTGATCTGGATGTTTGGCGGCGGGTTCTACGAGGGAGGGCTCTTGACGAACGGTTTTGATCCGAGTAATTGGATCCAAAGGACACAGTCTCATATTGTCGTTGCCATCAAGTGAGTCCTCTTTTTCTTGTCCATTGCTTGGACTCGTTTTGTACTTGGCAACGAATGTCTCTCCTTCTCGGCATTGCAACTGATCACTTGCAACTCTAGCTATCGGGTCAACATCTTCGGCTTTCCCAACGCCGCAGGCCTGGCTGAGACCCAGCAGAACCTAAACTTTGGTCTTCTTGACCAAAGATTTGCCGTTGAATGGGTTCGAGATAACATTGCTGCTTTTGGAGGAGACCCATCCAAGATTACTCTCTGGGGCCAGAGCTCTGGAGCAGCCAGCACGGACTATTACAACTACGCCTGGCCCGATGATCCCATTGTGTCTGGCCTGATCATGCATTCAGGCAGTGTCTTTGCTACAGGTTCCAGTGTGGACGTCGAGCATACGAACTTCACCTTTGTGGCTGAGAACATGGGCTGCGGCGATCTCTCCCCTCGAGCAGAATTGGCTTGCATGAGGAACGTTAGCGCAGACTCTATCATTCAGTTTTACGAAAACTACACCCTGTACTCGACCGGTCCTACTCTGAAGTTCACAACTATTGTGGACAATGTGACCAAATTTGAGGACTACACTGCCAGGGCTTATGCAGGAAATTACTCAAAGCTTGTGAGCAGCTACCGTTCTTGATACTCGTTCTATGCTGATTGCCTTGCCATCAAGCCCGCTATTTTCGGCACCAACGCCAATGAAGAAGCCTCTTTGGTTGCTTGGGCTGGACCTCAAGGTCCAAACATGACCTACGTTCACGAAGAGACCGTGTCCACCCACCTCTGTCCGGCAAACTACAATGGGCAGTGCGTCTTTATCCACCCCATGTTTTCGGCTCAATACTGATCGTTTCTTGATAATATAGTCTTCGCTACAACACCTCATCCCTCTCCTTCCGCTACTTCAATACGGCTAACTTCAGTAACATTTCCCCTCGACCTTGGGAAGGAGCTTACCACAGCTCCGAACTCCCCTTGCTATTTGGCACATACTCGGAGTATGGCGGACCCGCTACGCCTTTCGAGACCGCTGTAGCATCCCACTGGCAGGATCTCTATCTTGCGTTCATGCGGGATCCGGTCAATGCGCTCCCAGCAATGGGATGGCCTGCGTATCATCCTGATGGGTATGCGATGATGTTTGCTGCCAACGGGACTGTTACGAGTCTGCTGCCAATGAGTACTTTGGAGACCCCATGTGCTGGCATTCCCGAACCAACTATAGGATGAATGCAGTAGCTGCTCTGCCAGCAGGAGCTGGGAGAAAGCCGGAATATGAAGCAGAACTGGACGCATGTACATACTCTGTCAATGGTTTACACTAGGTATATAAAGAACTGGGTTACTGAGCCAGCCTAAGGGAGGCTTCGGAGTAACATTGGCATGCCCCAAATTAATTACATACATGAGAACGCGATTTTCAGATAGTACATCTTCCCAATTACTATTACTGATACTTCCTCTACCAAACATTGTAATCTACTCCCGTCTCGTGACAACAACAGGCAAGCTCCCCGTATGCGCACTGAACGTCTCCATAGTTTCCAACACCCACCCTTCCTCCCTTAAGGTAAGATCATACCTCCAGACCAACGCCGCAATAATCAACTGCATCTGGAAATATGCAACATTTCGTCCCAAGCATCCTCTTCCCCCTTGTGAGAAAGCCAGAAACCCGCGCTGCATATCACGCGACCCAGGCTGCAACCACCGCTCGGGAATATAGCGCTCTGAATCGGTACCGAAGATATCCGGATCTCGGTGGACGGTATACGTGGATACAGAAACGGTGGTGCCTTCGTCTAACCACTCACCAGACACCCTCATACCTCCCTTCGGGACAACGCGAGGAAGACCACCGGGGATGGAGGGACGAAGACGTAGGCCTTCGTCTATGCAAGCACGGAGATAGGGAAGGTTTTTGACCAGGTCATACGATATGGGGTTTGATGAATCGTTGTGAGGTGGAAGTGCATCTGCAAGTTCTGCACGAAGACGTCGAACTACGTGTGGATTGCTTGCGAGGTACCAGACGATGTTGGTCAGGGCAATCTCTGTGTTTCCTCCGGCAGCACTGAAGAGGTTTTGGGCCTCTGTCACTAGTTCACCCAGCTCCAAACACAGAGGATGCTCGCGGTTTCTGTCCCAGAGGAGCGTGGTCATAAGATCGTCTAGTGGCGGGAGACCTGCGTCCACTCGCTCAATGTCCATGTTTACTCGTTCGCGCACAAAGTGTGTGGTTACGTGTTGGAGTTGGGTACCGTGCTTCCAGCCTGAATGCCAGCAGGTTAGATGCTTGAGCATGGCCCTGAGTTTCGGTGCCCATCCGAGGCTGGTGGAGATGTGCAGAGCGCTAGTCAGCAGATGGTGAATTTCGCCTTTGTATGGGGACCCGGACGGTGTTTTGATAGTGACACTGGTGCTGCCTCGCTCTATGAAGTGGGGGTCGTGGTGGAAGAAAGTGACAAAGATGAGGTTGTACATGAGGTGCACCATTATCTGCTTCATGTCCACTTCCTCCCCCTTGGAAGAGTCCAGTATGCGAAAGACACGCTGCAGGTGGTCTTGGACCACAGGCTCGAGCTCGACGATACGTTTCTGGGAAAAGGCGATGGCAAATCGCTTTCGTTTGATACTATGGATATCTCTATCCTGAGCGTCAGATACGTTGAGGTGAGTTGAGTTGAATGTCTGATAAAAGTCATCTTTCAGTGCTGGTGTCCCGTGACCATAAATGTCGCGAATTGCTTCAGCCGTCGAAAAGGAGACGTGGCTTGGCCCGACTCGGACGATGCTGCCATATTTGAGGTGTGCTTTGCGGACGGCCACGGTACGTGTACGAAGATATTGCTTCCATAATCCCCAGAGATCAGTTAAAGGAGAGACTGACACTCCAGGGAAGCGCTTCAGACCTCTAGGGTCACGAAGATATGTGTATATAGGGGCGAGGACAGCCCTGAGAACGATAAGGATATTAACCACGACAATAATCTCTTTGTACATGATGCGCTGATATCAGAAGCCAAATAGCAAGCAGTATCCTGCCTCAATCTTCTGTCACGCAGCTTGATGCTAGATGAAGCTGATATACTTACACCCTCGGCGCCGAGTTGCCTGATCGGGAACATTGCAGCAAACCAGGGTTGTCTTAGACTTCCCCGCAAAGGAAGAAACGACCGAGCATGTCTTTCCACCATCCTCACTGCTGCCGCCTCCCGAATGCTGGAAAATGCGCAAGAAGACCTGGTAAGTTGTCTCTTGACTGCAGGGATGTATGCTGACCCAGACAACGCAGTTTGACATGTAAATCTCGCAAGGTGCGATGTAAGGGCCCAGTGAGCTCGGAGATTATGCCAGGTCTATAGAGCTGATCCCCCACAGGCGATGGAGTTCAGCCTGTCTGTGGTCGCTGCTCGAAGTCAAGTCGCTCTTGTCGCTACGCTCAACATCGGTCTGCGACCATCGCCTTTCGACATAGCAAATTGTCGACTCTCGTAGCTCAAGCAGAAGGATTCACCCAAACTGATAAGATTGACGTCTCGGTCTCAACACAACCCCCTGCATCTACTCCGGTGGTGACAGAAACCACTCAAGTGCCATCAACTTCTCTATTTCCTACTGAATCGGTGGTGTCTGCTCTCCCCGCTAATGATCGAACCCTACCGCACAATGTTATTCGCTATCCTACCTCTGAGTCAGGAGAAGCAGCATCGAGTCCATCCTTCCCACGAAACCCGTACACAGTTTCGCCGA